ACTTGTTTTGATCCGATGGTGTAGAAGCAGTCTGTAAGCGAGGTGAAAATTTTCATTAAAATGTAAACTTTTTTTGAGGGAAAAATACATTTCACAGTCTCCTTCTTTTCTTTTTCCTCAGCTTCCACACCTTATGTATCTATGGTAAATATTATTTCAGTTTGTTAGTCAAATGTCTATTATGTTTCACCTTATTGTAGTGTAAAAAAGAGAATGGGGGATAATATAGAAAGTGAATTATGAAAAAAATGTGCCCTCCTGTATGCTGGAAAAGCCTAAGTGGCTTATTCAAGGGCTTCAAATCATGGTTATATGACATAGTCTTAGTTATAGAGTTCCTGTTCCTGAAATGTAGTGTTTCATTCTGAGCTGATTAATTGCAGGAAGAATATGAACACCTTGGGCAATTGGCAAAGAATTAGTATCGTTTAGTTAATGTATACCTCCCGGGAAACACAACACCAAGAATGGACAAGGAATTTTTCAGATAATTTAGAGGGATATAAATTAAGAGGTATGAAAGGGAAAATGCAGAATAAATATCTTCCTCTTGACAGAGCTATGTAACTTGTTAGATCATGAAATAGTCCAATCTGTTACCTTATATGGGTTTCTTCAGAAGAAAATCACTCAAAATATCTCCTATACTGCTTTGCTACTTTGAGTAAGTAGTTCTCAATTTTTTAATTGAAAAGATTAGGGATCCTAGTTCTAGAAACTCTGGCATGGCTAGTTACACTGGTGTCTGTTGGCTTAGAAATGGTATTTAAAGGTTTGCTTTTTGGGAATTGGCTTATAGGTGTGGATGGGTGTGTGTGTGTGTGTGTGTGTGTAGATATATATATGCATTAGAATAGTTCAAGATGGGCATCAGAGGTTAATTAATTTCTACAAATCTTGGGTCTTGCACACAAAGTTTCTCACAGCCCTGGAAGCAGACAGGCTGGCTGACGCACCAAGGCCAACAAGAAAGCATAGTCTGGAAAACAATCTAGGAACTGGGAGCGTATACCACATTGTTCCATAACACGAGATAAAGTGACACCAGCTAACAAGGCCCCAGAACAGGGGGGCCTGAGTTCTGGTTTTGGGGGAACAGACTAAATTAGGAGAAGGTCCAGAAGGCTATGTGGACATGTGACCACAGAGAGACAACCAACCGGAGATAGCCACGGATGAAGAGTCATCAGGAGGGAAGGAGAATACAAAAGCAGGGACTTGAGAGTAACAAAGTGTCCCTCCCTGTCCCTTCCTTCTTCTTGTCCCTCCCCATCCTCCTTCCTGAGAGGGATCTCTGTCACCATCCCTGTCTCCTGGGCAGGGTCCCTGAGGCCACCCTGGACAGAAGGCACACCACCAGCCTGTCTCGTCCATCCTGCTGGAGGTGGGGGGTGTGGACCTCAGCATCCCACCTTCAGGCTGCTAACATCTGATGGCTAACACCTAAAAAAGAGCCTCAGAGTGGAGACTGTGTCCTGGCCAGATGTACTTTGACTCTGATGACAGCCCTAGGATTTGGGAGATATATAGAATTGCTTGGTTGTTTGTATTGCTTCTTTTCTGTTATCACTGTGCATCAGTCAATTTGCCTATTATCGAATGGAAAGGTCGTGGTCAGCCTGGGTGGGGGGGAGCAGGAGAAGGAGTGGGACCCGGAACAAGGCCTCTGGGTCCTAAATCCAGAGCCAAGTGCCATCATTAGCTCAAAAGTAGAGAGAATTAGTGACCAGAGAGTCAACAAATAGAATGAAAAACAAGAGTGTTTACCTAAAACTTATCCTGGGTGCAAAAAGGAGCAAGCTTTTGTTTTCTAGGGATAAGAAGGTAGGCCTGTTTTGTGATTTGGTTGTACCGGTTGTTTGTAGAGTCTGTGCGAGTGCTGTGCATTGTGAGTAAAATGGCAGCCTTCCAGCTGAGTATGAGGGAGAGAGTCTTCTTGCCTTCGATTATTGCACATAGTTAAGTCCTGAACCTAGGCAAGGGAGGACGGCCATCCAACGCAAAAAGCTTAGAAGCTAAGCAGGCAGCTACATGTGAAACCCAGCAGACGCAGAACAGGATGAAGAGCAGTTTGTAAGCAGGACGTAAATTGTGTTTTGTCAATTTTTTCTGTACACGTATAAAGTGTCACTTGATGGAATTCCTGGAAGAGAAGATCTGAAGACTAAAAATAAAGCTCTTCTTTGTACCTGAGCTGCCAGCCAACCAATTTGAAATGCATCACTGGTTGCCAGGTAGACTGGCAGGGTCTTTAGCAATGTTGGCATTGCTTGGAACAATAGGGAGTTTAAGCCCCTACCCAGGTGTGTGAGGCCAGTCACATAGGCAGAGGGAGCAGGTTTCTACCCTCCCTCAGGAATGTATCCAGCTCAGGTTACAACTCAAGGGTTAGCTGAAGCCGATGGGGCCAGAGGCGTTTGCCCTTTACAGTGACCATGGTAACCAAATTGTCAGATAGCAGAGTTTGGGGAGAGACAGAGATGGTATTCTGCCACACCTGTGTTTTGCTAGTCTATACCTCGCTGGGATTTCTCTATGCTTTTTACTGTGGTGCCTTCTGTGACTGGAGTGTAGATGTACTCACTGCCTTGGCATTGCCTGTTAATTCTGTGGGAGTCTTCAGTTTTTGAACAAAAACTTCTAAAGTCCTGGAGCCAGGTGACGGTAGCAGTTTAGATCGGGTCAGACAGGACAGCCCTAAATTGAGTTCATAAGAATGGACATGCAGCGTTTTGGTAGAAGCAGAAAGGAACGTTTCCATTTTCTCTATAGTATACTTAGCAGGGAAGTTGAACATAACAGCAGTCAGGCTAAGTCATCAAACAACTTACCTGGGAGATAGGAACCTATTATTTAGAAGGGTTAGGAAAACTGACTTTCTGCTCTTTGGAAGAGAGATTAAGAGGAGACCTTGTTGAGGTGCATAATTCTGAAGGCAGGAGAGAGAAGTCTCAAAGACTAACTGAGCTAATATCAAATAAAAGAAGGAAGGGGCATGAATCTGAGCGAGAAGCCTGAGGTTTCTTTAAAGCAGGCAGGCAAATGTGAAGAACTTAAGCAGCCACTTAAATAGAGTAATTAGTATGTGCAGTGAGATAAAAGTAGGTATCTTGTGCTTTTAAAAAAAAAGCAGCTAACTTTTAGAGGCAAATAAATGCAGGGAGGAGAATCCACAGAAGGTGACGTGGGGTGTACTTTAGTCTCTGAAACATCTAAATGTAGCTTTTACTGTTTCTTAACAAAAAGGGACTACTGAGACTTCTATTTTGACACCCCTTCTCTAGGCAAAACAGCATTTCTGTAATCTGCAAGAAGACTGGTGTGTTTTGACTGCGTTATTGATTGTGCAAAAGATTTGATGTATTGATGCTGCTGGAATAATTTGGGGGATCTTGGGAAATCACTTAATGGAATTTGGTCCATGTCTGCATAATCTGACTTTCTGCTGGAGTAATTGAAGATGCTGCTTAATAAACTTTATAAAGACTCCCAGTTGGTTGCTGTGTTTCAGCGGGTTGTCTGAGCACAAAAGTAATACATGTTCTAATTCTCTTTTCCCCCCACCCCCCTTTTAAATCTTTTCCTTGGGGAAGAATTTAATGTACTATAATGCTGGTACTTTTTTACAAAGTGACCCTGCACATTATAATTTGTTCTCTGAATCTCCCTTGGTAATGCATAAATGCAGTGAAATTTCTGAAGCCCTGTCTCCTTCACTGTTTTTCAAAAGCCTGTTTGAAAAACTGTGTTTGATATTCCTTTACTGGCAGAGAACTTTCAAATGTTGTCATCTTGGTTTTTGGTGTAATGCAACATGTGAAGTAGGTTTATTTTATGAACTAATCTTCTTTATATTTCTAAAGGGTGTGTGTGTGTCTACGGACATATACATTTTATTCACATTTATGTATAAATGCACACGTGTGAATAAAATGTATATCTCCATAGATGTAAAATTATATATGGTGTGGTCATAAAGTTATTTTTGTAAGGATTTTCATGAATCCTCATGGGTTTGTTAAACAACCTGTGATCAAGTTCAGAACACCCTGGGTCTGATGTCTTGTGTGGACAAAATCTGTTTTAACAAGCTCAGGAAATAGTAATCCTTTGCTGCTAAATAGCTAACAGCATCTCATGCTTTCGTATTGCTGTGCAAATATTAATTAGGCTTGGCATAGTTTTTATGCCCTTTTTGCAGGTGGCTGTGCTGATGCACAGTGTGGTTATAGCTAGGGACCTACTTAATTTGCAGCCAGGCAAAGACATTTTTGCGGCTTAGTCGCGGCACGAAATGCTGATTTCATGGCCATTTCCTGGCGGCCCTGCCCCTCGCTGCTGATTGGCAGAGTAGCCCTGGGGGGAGGAGGGATGAGAGGCAGGCTGCCATCTTTGCTGCTGGCTGCCCTTTGTGCGGCCCCACCCCTTATCGCTGATTGGTGGAGAGGCCCCGAGGGGAGGAGGGTCTAAGGGGTGGCTACCATCTTGCTGCTGCCCCGCCATCAAGTGTCTTCCCCTCCCAGACTGGCTCTGAGGCTGCAAGGATCATTGGCTCCCCCTGGGGAGCCAGCGTTTTATTACTTTTTTTTTTTTAAGTTGATTTTTGTGGACAATTGTGGATTTCACAGTTGCCATGAAATCGCAAATTAAGTAGGTCCTTAGTTATAGCTTGTAGCAACAGGAACAGAGCAGAGTATTGCAGGTCAAATGCATGCTCAGCTGTTTTGCAGTAGGGAATAAAATATTGTGGAAAAAGACTGACTTTTTTAATAGTCGTTTTTTTGTTGTTTAAAAAAGCCCAATATTCTTTTTCTACTATTTTTCCCAGTGTCAGAAGGAATGCTGTTACTATTTCAGTTGTGTGTCCAGACGGAGAATTTTGTGCGTTACAGATTCGGAACTTAATAATATAAAAGTTTCTGATAGTTTAATGTTGTCACCACTACTCCTTTTTTATAATAGTGCTTTTGTTTTCCACCTCCCCCCCATTTGTACTGTAGGTTGAAACAGGATCAGATGTATGTACATGATGAACTTGGCAGAGTCCTGGAGCGAGAGCGAACCGCTTCAAATGAGCACCTGACTAGAGCCATTCTCCGAGAGAGAGCCGCAACCGAAGAGGAGCGTGTGAAGGCGGAGCGTTTTGTAAGTGCCGGAAATGTCATGTAAAAATGCAGGTTTCAGAAGAAATATTTATACCTTAAATCTTTCTTTGCCTTTGGCAAACTATAAAATCTAGAGAACAGGTGTTTTTTCTTTTGCTAACAAAGCTTTTTTCTTATGGTGAACTTCATTTTTGCTGATATTTCCCCTGTCACTTCACAGTCCTTGTACAAATAGATGATTTAAAATCATTGTGCACTTTTTTTAGCGTCCTGAACCTGTGGTGTTGCGGCAAGATTTTTTTTGCGTGTGTAGAGAGCATTTGAATCCCTTAACTAAATTTTCTTTTAAAGGAGGGGAAGGTAAAATCCTGGCCTGGTTCTACTTAAGTGCTTTGTACATCTAGGTAGATTATGTGATGTGAAGTTAGGAATGCTACATGACTGCAAACTTGATCCGTGCATGCTTAATAATGAAGGGATGGCAACAGGACAGTCTTCCTGGGCAAAATAATTGACTGACTAAGGGTTTCAGAGGTGTATTTTTTTTTCTAATGACCTTAAACTGGAAACCTAAACCATATGTGAGTAATTTTGGATGGCTGTGCCCCAAATCTTAGTGCCAGCTTATTGGAAGTCTGTGTTGAAGAACTGCATTTCACCGGAGCATGTGATTTTTATATATATATATGTGTGTGTGTGTGTGTGTGTGTGTGATATAATCACATGCTCTGGTGAAATACAGTTCTTCAACACAGACTCCCAGTATAGATTTATATATAGAAAACCTCTCTGGCTTCCAGCTTGTGAAATACAGCTGGCTGTTTTTTGCTGGGAATTGACACCGTAGATTGCCGGCCATTTCAGATGTCTGACAGATTTGTAGCTTCCCACAGCAATTGCTGCAACTGCCTGTATTCTCAGGATGAAATCCCTATGACAATTCTTTGAGGTATGGAGGCATTGCTTTGCTAGAAAGCACTTGAGTATAAACTGTGATATGGGCATTTTCAAGTTGGGAAAAAAAATGAAGGCTGCATCTTGGAAACCTGTATGCATTTACTTCAGTTCACTCGCATGAGTTTTCCCTTTGAAATCAATGGGACTATTCATGTGAGTAATGTTAGGGATACGTAGAAGTATTTGTAGGATTTGGTGGCCTTACTGCCTAGTGCTGCAGAAGTGATTGTGGAAATGTTTCCCTTCTGAAAACTATAGACGGATGGTTACCCCATATAACAAACGCATGAGTAAATGGTATTTTTTTTAATCCTAATTGATCTGGAAAAAAAATCACTTGACTAAGCACAGAGAACTCATGCTTATTGTACATAGTCTCAGAGCTTGTCATGAACTATATGCATGCAGTTCTATTGAGATACAGTTAATTGTAGAGGGGAAATCAGTTGATCCCCATCACTGTGTTTAACAATGAGGGAACAAAGGGAAAATGGAAGGGAGTTTTGTACAGGGCACATTTATTATGCATTTGATCCTAGAGTCTCTAATATCTTTATAAAGCAGACAGTCTTCAGGGCCTCAGACTAAAGAAGAGCTGGAGATTTAATATAGCAATCAAAGTGGGGTGGGGGGGGTGTTGCATGGAGCAATAGGCATTTTGCATTTGTAACTGGCTTCATGCTTTTGTGAGGTGCATGTCACTCTCCGTGCCTGAAAATATCAAATGTATGCAGAGCAGGTCTTTTTAATTTTTCTTGAAGGCACAGGGTTTTCTCCTAGCAAATTTATAACACATTCATTTAACAGATATGTCACCTTTCATCTTTAGTTTTCACTTAGCCGAGAATATATTGGCTGGATGACCTAGCAAGCGACAAAGTAGGTTGATTAATTTTGTACGTATCTTGTGGAGGGTGTTGTTTCAAGCCCAGATAATGCTGGATGTGAAGTGGGAGAGGATGTAAATGTTGGGAATGCAGGCAATGATATGAAGCAGTATTTAAAAATCATACAAGCTCTCCATTATGGTAAACCTTAATTCAGTATGCCGTTGCTCTATGACAGTAGTTAGTCCTCAACCTTTTTAGGCTCGAGCCACATCTTCATAACTTTTGAATATAGCGGCACACTATTTCAAAACCACATTTCACTTGCTTTTCAACTATAGAAGAAACCACATTTCACTTGCTTTTCAACTGCAGCAACTCTTCTGTTGCAAAAAACGAAGAAAGATCACAACAGGTTAGAATGGTTTTGATAGTATGGATTCTTATTTGAAATCTCTGAGATAAATTGTGTGGGTGTTCACATGTGTAAGTACTAATGTTGTGCAGTACATTTAAAGGGGTCTTTTGTCACCCTGGTTGAGAATTGCTGCTCTCTGGAGACGAAGGTACTTTCACACGACATCTGAGAGAGTCAGATATGGCCAACACATGCTTTGCATATGGAGACAATATGCCTTGTTGGCTGGAGCATAGATTTTGCATTTGGAAACAGGCCAAGTCTCTAACCTGTGCCAGTGTCTTGCTGAGCAGCTTGGGGATTTCATTTAACTTTTCTTATATTCTGGTTTTTCAACTTGTAAAATTTTAAAACATTGTAAAATATGGGTAAGAAGCACTATGTAGCTTATTAGAATTATAATTCATTCATTTTCCAAGGTTGCTCTCAGAAGGCCAGATTATTAAAATACAAAGTAGCAATTAATCTCTACCTGTGTTAGTGCCACAGCGATCTAATAAACACATTCAAAATGATAGAAGATCTAAATATTAAATGTAAATAGTTTAAATATACAGCTCTGGGTAGTAATCCTCAATTTCTTCTTCAGATCTCTTAAAAGCCCACTCCTCTAGCATTCCTTATTCCTAGTTAGGCTCTCTTCTTGGCTCCTTTACTTACACACATTTTGTTTAGTTTGGTTTTTTTTCTCTCTCATATATAATCGCTAAGGCAGAGATAATCTATATTTTGTCTTTGCAAAGTGGTATGATGATTTCTCATACTATCTATAAGTCATATTTTTTCACCTACAACACACACCTTTTCCCCAAAAATCACCCCCCAAATTGGGGTGTGTGTATTAAGCAGGCAATCTGATTTTCTTCTTGGGGTTGGAAGCATCTTGATTATGTTCCCGCGTTACAGTGCGGCAGCTGTGGCAGCACCGGTCAGGGAGCCAAGGGAGTCAGTAGACTTAATGGCTCATTGTTCCTCACGCTGCAGGTGTTAGCAACACCCACTCCTTTTTAAAAGTCGTGATGTTTCACAAGCTAACCATTCTTAGGGCAGTTTTGTTGTCTGCTAGCTGTCGGTGGTTTATTTCCCAGCCTCTTTAGCTCTTTTCAAAATCCTGGCGCATTTATACACGTACTTTTTGATCCCTTGACGCGCCAGAGATCTGTTGCTTTGGAGCAGACTTGATTAATCGAAACTGCTCCACATGTGAGCTGATGTGCACTGCGCTGTGCCACGTGCGGTTGTTCAAGTGGCGAAATGCACATCAACGCGCAGAAAATGGGGGCAGTACGCTTTTGAATTAAAGTACCTTCTGTGTTTTTTAGTTCAAAAGCACACCGCCCCCATTTTCTCAGCTCTGACGTGCATTTTGCCGATTATACAACTGAAAGCGTTGCAGGGCTGGGAGCATTTCAAAGCGCCTGGCGCTGTGGTGCTTTCTTGTGTAAAAATGCCCATAGAGATCATGGCTTTTCAAGATGATAGAGACCCATGGCGACCACTCTTCACTAGTTCAGCTTTAGTTGTGCAAGAAAGGGAGGGGAGCTGAAACTTAGGGTGCCTATACACGAGCTGTGAGGCTGCTCCAGCGTGCTGTAATTACAGTGCACTGGAGCAGACTCGATTAATCGAGTTCGCTGGAGCGTGGTAATTACTGCGCTCCAGCAGAATCCAGCATCTCATGTATCAGCGTCTCTGCGCTTAAAAACGATGGCATAGGCGCTTTAACTAAAGCTCGTTCGATGAGCTTTAGTTAAAATGCCCTCACCGCCATTTTTAAGATGCACAAGACGCTCTGGATGTTAATTAGAGTTGCCCCGGGTGTTTTTGGAGGCACTCTAATTAAAGTGTTGTCCGCGCCCCCAACGCCCCTCACCTGGAGCATGTGTTTAAATGCCCTTAGGCTCTATCCCTGCTCTGTGAAGCCTTAATTCTGGAAAAATCTTTTTTCTTTTCTACCTTTCAAAAATAAGGTGTGGATTTTATTTGCGGGTGTGTTGAATGCGAGAAAATACGGTAAATGGTCTGGTATACCAGTTGTTTAGCTCCAGACAGGATCCTAGACTGTTAGGTCCATGGGTCAGGTCTTAGATATTGTTTGTAAAGTATTGTGCTTCTTTCCATCACTGTATGAAATTCCTTTGTTGTTTCTTAATTGTTTTAAATTTATAGCGTATGCATCATTTTTGCCTTTTTACTGGGATTTTAATATGAATAACAGACACTATTCTGATTACGTTCTCATCCAAAGTATTCATACTCTGTGCCTTGGAAGGAAGGTCAGGGTCATTAGTGTCCAACCAAACAATGAATGTTAAATTGCGTGTGGAAGTATAAAAAACCAATAGGATGAACATGCTGAAGGAAAAGACATGCTGCAAATTCTGCTGCTATTTTGATGCTTATATTACAGTAGCGTTAAAAAGTACCAGTCAATATAGAAACCCCTTACAGGGGGGCACAGGCACTTGGGAAAATGTATGATGCAGTGAGCAAATGTAACAAAATTGCCAAATACATTGCAAAGGCCTGTGCTGAACAGCTGGAAAATTAAAAAAAAAAAACCCCATTCAAACATTCCCAGTCAAACTACAGCTCTAAGCTTTGGCACTAACATTAGTGTTCCCCTTGCACTAGCATTCCGCTCTTACTTTTTACGTGCCTCCAACATCCATGGCCTCCTTCCCATCCCTTTTGAGAGTCTTGTCTCATGCACTGTTGGAGCGGAGGAGGGGACGGGACGTTCTCAGCAGGAGAAAAAGGTTTGGTACAATGCTTATTTAGAGCACAAATAGGAAAGTGGCTGTGATATCACTGAGAGACAGAGGCTTGATAGGGATG